CTTGGTAAAACTCTTTAGACTCATGCCACATGCTCAGCGCCATCTCTATTCCAAACTGAGCATGAGAAATGTAAATCCTACAGCTAAAACATACTTTCAGTTCCGATCAGATTCCATGTCCAAGCGTTTTATGCAAAGTAAAGAACTCCACTTTTCGAAAGGCCTCCACTGTCAGAAGTTAAGATTAGAGAGCACGATTCGAATCCAGCCAAAAGAAACGCATGTACAGCAAAAATATTTTAAGTAAAATGTTTATATATACATAAATCACTTACCACCTCGCCATGAGCCTACTTCCTCCGTTAATAAATTTGCATTTTTAAAATAGATTCCATGACTAACTTACGTTTTCAACGACAGAGCACGGAAGGTTTTACAATAATGGGAAAAACCAAATCGAACAAATTTTTAACTGTAGATGCCATTGCCGAGACCGTTGTATTTTTTACATCTCGTCGAGAAAACAGAATTCGAAATATTCCTCATCAGAAAACAACGCACATTTAACATTGTTCGATTTGTTTTCAAAGAAACACATCTGATTAAGCCGGACCATATCGTTTAAAATGAAATCATCAAGTAGAAGGTATATTTTGGCGATGCTTGACTCGAGAGTGAATCCACTTCATAATTTCGTTCCATTGTAAACTTAATTCGAAACTGTTTATTTGAATTGCTTAGGCATACTTTATCTTTGATAAAAAAATTTTTTGACGATGTATTTCGTTCATTAGGATACATAACATGTAGAGTCATTTTCGTGCTGTGGTATGATGACACAGTGTCCAAGTATCTGCTTCGGAGGTGCCCTGTCGATTCCGCCACAAGGCAATTTTGTCTTATTCACGAATTTTCTTAATCAAGAAATTTGGCAGACATTTCCTCAGACCGAGACTGCTCAATCGGTAAAGCGTCAAACTGAAAACCGAGAGGCCCCTAGTTCAAGGTCTATTCGATGTCACTGGTCCTTCTTCCGAGGTTGATAAATGCGTTCCACTCGTTAGAAATAAACAAGACAGTATACGCTACGCTTGCAACATAGTTGTAGATTTTGACTTTAAAACGAGGCACTATAAGCAACAGAGATTGGCACTGTGTCATCAGCTTCTTGAAAAGAAGGGCACAAACGGTCGAATCATGAAAATGAAGAAATACCGACACTCAGGCTGTGACGAACATTCCGTTTCGTTTTCTCGTACTGCATCTCCCAGCGGCTGAGTTTATTTCGTATTTATTCTTGATTATTTGTAGATTATTCGTTTGTCGTCGTACTTTCCCTTTCTGTGCTTACTGTTTCTGGCGTAAATCGGCTTTGCGTTATATTTTCGGGTTATTAAGGTATTGTTTCTTCTTCTTTTTTCATGTTACTGATTTCAGTTGAAACCGCAATCACAAGAGAGGGCATAGGACAACTTTTTTGAGATTTTGGCACTATGGTTTTGACTAAAGTAATCAAGTTCCGTTATAATTTTTGAATCTGACCACTAGCTGTATTTTGCGCTTTCTGTTGATTCTGTGCATTCATGCGATTCCCCTCTCTCGTTTAGTTTTGTATGCATGGAATAACTTTGCTAGTGCGTAATCTCTCGTGATCTCTACTAATTCTTTCTTTCCAGCTCCCAGATTGTTTTGTCTACCGCTACTATTTTTAAGAGTTCTTTAGGTGTAGGCTCGTTTCGTTTGAATACCAATGTTTCCTGGACTCGGCTCCAATATCTGCTGAATACATGTTTCTTTACAAAATGCTCCTGGTTCGAAATGAATGGTGGTAATTTATTGGCATGCATGGGTTTGTGACACACATCAGTAGTGCACTTGTTCCACTTTCCCAGAAATTTTGCACTCAGAAAAAGCAATGGGCGCATTTTGCTCCATTTGATCGTGAATATGATTTCTCTTAAATCAGAATACTGAAATATCCATAAAAAGTGTTTCTTACAAGCGAATATGCAATCACCGATCCTCTTGAAAATAAAGAAACGCTGATAATTTAACAATGCTAATGCATGAACAACGATATTGGTATGAAACTAAGTTCGATTCCGGACAAGGTTGCCAGATAACTTTATTATGGAGGCTAAAGCATCCATAACGAAGTTTGTACATGACTTGCTGTATCACCGCGTTTATGTTGTTTGTTAATTTTCAGTGTTAGTTTTCACTGTTCAGTTTTGTTACAGTATTCATTTGTTGGACAGTGAGATAGAGATAACATAAATACGAAAGATTATGCTCTTTTGTCTGAGTTTATGAAAAATATTGCGTAAGAACATCTTTGTCACATTTTCGTTCAGCTTTAATTTATCACCAGTGCAAAAATTGACCAACTGATAACACAGTATGTAGAAGACACCTGCAGTTACGCTGCCACTCATGAAGTAACAGGGTAAATTTATAGATTTCACAGTTTGTGGTGCGCGCAGTGTGTGCATTTAGATGAAGTCATCAACGGATCAGCCAACTGTCAAGCCGTTCGGAGATTGATGATAATGTAGACATGACGGGGTTTAGCAGATGTGTCGATCAAATGCTTTTTTTTTGCTCTGCTTTAATATAGAGAGTCTGCACGCCATTAAGAGTTGGCAAATTCTGAAGACGCTTATCCAGGAGTCGTTTTACTCATAAGGACCCACTTGGTTAGTGATGCTCATCAGGAACCGTCTTGAGTTTGAAGTTACTGGAAGGAATGCTTGTTTAAACGTCACAGTGTTCAACTGTTCAACAAGCTACCAGTTTCGTGCACGAAGTTGTACACTTGGAATCGGGTAGATGAAGAAAGCAGTCAAGGATTTTTATAAGAGCAGATCTTGAAATCGTGGAGGATTTCCATCGCTGGCAATGCGAATTTAAAACTGTCGTTTAGTTATAATCTCTCCTGAACTTAAAAATGTTTTTAAGCAAAGACAGACCCATTGGGTTGAGAAAAAATTACATAAATGTAACTAAATATAATCCCAGGAAGAACTTAGCTTACCAGCATTTTACGAGTCGTAAATTGGCGAAATGGACCAATTGCGAGGCCTGGATTAAACATAACAGTCAGTGTCCGACAACACGAACCATCCGTAAGACTTTGCAATTTATCAGGAACGCGTTCTTTCGTGTTAATAATTAATTAAAGCTTATTTGGCATCACTAAGTTGCTTCTGCATAACCACCCGGTCGCAACGGCATTAGCAGTAAGATGGTTACGTGCTACAAATGCGATTTCATTTGTAGGCAGTGGAGGCTTTTAAGAAGTACCTCGAAACAGGGATGATGCCGGCTAGTGCTCGTGAACAATATTGTTTGGAGCAAGGAGGACTACATCAATTAAAAGTGCTGTCCAACTTGCCCATCAGTCCCAGCTTCAAGCAGGGTTTCTAGCCTGTTTCGGTACTGGTGTAGCGACGATCAAGGTATGGTATGTTGGAGGTAAAATTGAAATTATTTTATGCTTCACCTTACCAATGATGTTTCCAGGTTCTGCAGCAGCAGAAGCTTCGACTTATCGGTAGAAGCTACGTTGTATTGTAATAGAAACCCGTTTGTTGTATTGTAATCGCAATACACGCATTAAGTCATGAAGTAACTATATGAATCATAATCCATAGCCAGCGCAGTGATGCGTCGAATCGAACAGTAGAAGTACACGAACGGAGCATAATTCGTTGATGCGACGGCTTCCTGAACGCCACTGATTGTTAAGTCACGTTCCTCTTGGTTACGACACCAGCAGTTGTATCGCGGGGGTGATGAATACTAAATAGATAGCCAACAATGATTACGAAATGGCTTTCGATCTACGGCGTATGATTTCAGGCGATGTCTGTCGTCACAGCCCATTAGAGATTTTAGCTGACAACTCGGAGGCACTGCGAGGTGCGCTAAAAACGATGTTGTTGTTGAACAGTGCTTATGTTGTTAATCAGCTACGGCCTCTGCATTTTTCATGTACTCCAGCTGTGATGCGTTGACTAGAAAACCAGAACACGGGAGTCGGTCAGAGCACCAGATGACACTGCTGCAAGTCTTATAGCCACTTGTGTACTGCACAGCAATTGACGCAGCGAACATTGCGTAGTAAAAACTTGCTTAGCTTGGAGACCGCCTCACATTCGTTGTCATCACCCCAACAATCTCTCCAAGGTAGCGATCAGAGTATTAATCAAAACCACAGAAGCACATAACCATAACCACTTTAGGATAAAATACTACGAAGGCGATATTCGTACACCGTCAATCATCTGGTGGGCTCAATCTGCAATGTCTATTACAGTTCGCGCTGACAGTCGGCCTTCAGCAGCTGTAAAGGCCTGGCAAGCTCACACAAAGAACAATTCGTTCAACACCTGTCAGGATCATCAAGTGGATGAACATTCCGTTTCAGTGCTGAGCAGCTCTGACCAGAATGCCCCAAAATATTTGGTAAATATGTGTTGGTGTTTGCAAATGCCGTAAGGGCATGCACAGCAGACAATGCAATCCCCAGCATGACAACCGGAGTCAATACGCAGCAATAAAACTCGTGGAAGATCCGGCAGAAAATACTTTGCTGTGCTAACCGTTGAAGATATCGCTAGTAAAAAACAGCGCTTATGAAAGCTGGCCTCTCTATCAAGGTTTAAGCCACCCTGAAAGAGGTAAATTCTTTTAATTTGATTTCTCTGTTCTGTAGAGTCATTTAGGCGTTATAAGTCAGCCACTGATGTCAGAAAAGGTGTGGCATGGAGCAATGTGCAGTCGAAAACTATTTCGCATTCACCGAGATGTGCC